CAGGCACTGTATCGTAGTCGTTCTGGCGTCCAGACCTTCGGGTGTCTCAAGCGGTGCGATAGCAGCGGCTTGCGCGCCCAGGTTCGGCCTCCCCGCGGCCTCCGAACGTCGCGCACCAGAGGCCGCTCTTGCCCAGGGCCGCTTCTCTTACGAGTGCGGCAGGCTCGCGTCGCGTGGGCCAGCGGCGACCCCGCCGCTGGTGTTCAGCGTTGAACGCCGCTGGCGACCCAGAACCGGTCGATGTTGAACGATCGAGCGGACGTTTCGGACCTGGCGGGTCGTTCGAGGTTGAGCGACCCAGGATCGGTCGACGTTGGACGATCTGGCGTTTCGGAGACGGCCCGTCTCGTTCACGTTCGAACGATCCCCGCTCTGTCAGAAGCCAGCGCCGGGGTCGACACGGCAGGAGCCTTCCGTAGCCGACACGGCAGCACCTGGCAGGCGAGGAGGGGAGCCGTAACTGCCTGGGCTACGACGAGTTGCTGGACATGCTGCGGCGCGTGGTGCCACTGGGCGACCGCAACGCCCGGAAGCTGGCGGCCATCTTCGAGGATCGGGCGGATGACAACACAGTCTGGGCCCTGAAGAAGGAACCCTTTTGGTTGGGGAGGGGCTCCGCGTTCCTTAAGTGTTCCGCAGCTTGCCTCAGGTTTTCCTTAGGTCTTCGATAGGAAATCGAAGTTTAACTTATGGAAAAAGGGGGCCTCGTTCCTTATTTAGGGTTCCGTAGGTCAACGCCCCGACTGTATGGGAATATGGGGGTGCAAGAATCGCAGGGGCATCGAGGTCTGCGTGCAAGTGGCCCCAGAGGGGCACCGAGTGGTCCCCGAGTCAGCTGGCCCCGGCCTCCCACGTGGGGTCCGAGCAGATGGCGCCGGAGAATCGCGCCGCGTCGCCGATTCCTCCTCCTCCTCCTCCTCCTCCTCCTTGTTCCTCCTCATCCCTTCTCCCTCCTCCTCCTCCTCCTCCTCCTCCTCCTCCTCCTCCTCCTCCTCCTCCTCCTCCATTGGCGATGCGGCGCGATGTGGAGCCCGATTTTCTCCACGCCGACGGCGCCGATGTATCGTCGACCTTGCCGGTGCATCGCCAGAGCATCGCCGATGCATCGGTCATGCGGCGCGATCCTCGGACCCCGTGTGCTTCGACCCCATTCGGGAGGCCTTTCAAGGGGGGGCAATCAACGCGGGGGCACCGAGGAAGGCAGGGAAGTGGCCCCACGGATGCCCCGAATGGCCCCCGAGTAGACGAGCGCCGGGGCCTAGAACGTGCACAAGGGGCGCGCGTGTCTTCGCCCACCGTGGAGTACCCCCCCTGCTGCGGTGGGGGCGCTGAAGAATGTGCCCGGGAGGTTTTCGACCCTTGAGTATTCCTTGTCAGATTGGGTCGGCGGTGATATCCATGGCCAATCAACGACTGGAGTTCCACCAGCGTCCAGACCCTGGATTCCTTATCCAATGGTTCCTCATCCATTGCCCTCACCGCAACGAACACCCGAGAGGAGATGTTCTACCCGCGTGGCTCCGAGCACAAGGCGGACTTCTCGGAATTCCTGTTGATCATGAGGCGGCTGCTGGACATCAACTTCGCCGGCATCAGCGACCTGGAGACCTCGGGGCACGAGGCCGTCAGGGGCAACGCTGGGAGAGGACAGGCTCAGGGATGGACGCCTCGAGCCCCAGTCGCCCACGCATCGCCGACAGGGGCCCGACGGCCCTCCCCGCCCAGGGCCGTGCGGCCCCCTGAGCCGGTCCACCCCGAGCGGCGCCTCTCAGGGCGGCTCCGGGCGCGCGTCCGTCGCCTTCTGAGGCGGCAGGGCCCCTCGCCGCACGCGCTGCGCCCGGCCCGCTCGCGCGCGCGCGGGGGCCGCGCCGCTGCTCGCCGCCCTCGGCCGCCTTTTGGCTCCCCTGCGGCCGATCGCCTTTTTGCGCGAGGCGGGGGGGGGGAGGGGGAATCGGGGGGCCCCCAGGCGGTGCGGTGACCGCACCGCGCGGTGAGTCCGTCGGGGTTCGGGGTCGCCGCGCGGTGTTGGGGCTCGGGCCCTTCTCCGAGGGCGTCCCCCGGGCTGCTGGGGGCCGCCGAGGCCCCAGGACGCACCGCGCGGCGAGGCCGTGGGGGGACTCCGAGGCCACCACGCGGCCCGTCACCACACGGTTCTGGGGCCCCGACGAGGGGCGAGGGCGGGGGGCGGGGGCGGGAAGAGCAGGGGCCCGGCGCGAGCAGGAGCCTCTCGGGGCCCGCTCAGATCTCTGGGGTCGGCGCCGGGCCGCCGCCACCGCCCCCGCGCGCGAGGAGCGCCAGGGAGCCGGCGCCCGGGGCGTGCCGCTGGGGCGGTGGCCCAGCGCTGGCCCGAGGAGTGGACCTCCGGACGTTCCCGCAGGTGTCGCCGCGCCGTGTCTTCCGACGCGAGGCCCTGCGCCTTGGGGAGAGCGTCTCGGCCGCCAGGGCAAGCTCCGCCTCGGGCGCAGGGCCTGTCGTGAGCCTGCTGCGGTGCCGGCTTCGTCTGCTTGAGCGCGGTCAGAGCAAACGGCGCGGCGGCATGTGAGGTTTCGCGCTCGTCGGCTGAAGGACAGTTTCCCCACCTTGTGCTCAAGTTCGGCGGCGAGCGAGGGAGGGAAGTGCGAAGGAGAAGGCCTTCTCAGAAGGCGGCGGGGCTTCTCAGAAGCGCTCCGGCCTTCTGAGAGGTTTTCTGCGTCTTCGGGAAGGCCAAGACAACTTTTTAAGCGCTCCGGCCTTCTGAGAGGTTTTCTGCGTCTTCGGGAAAGGCCAAGGCAAGACAACTTTTTTCGAAAGGCCAGGCGGCTTCCGAGCCTTCTGAGAAGGCCCGCCCCTTCTCCTGGCATCGCTCGGACGTGTGTCTCTTTTGTTCCTTGGCGAGGACCCTTGAGGACCATCCTGGACCATCGCGCAACAACAAAATATCCCAGTGCGACCCTACCTGGGAGTTGGAGCCCCTAGGAAAGCAGCATTAGTAGTAGCAGTAAAGCTAAGCTAAAGATCAGCTAAAGCTAAGCTAAAGTTAATCTAAAGCTAAGCTGAAGCTAAGCTGAAGCTAAGCTGAAGCTAAGATAAAGCTAAGCTACAGTTAAGCTAAAGCTAAGCTGAATCTAAGTTAAAACTAAGCTAAAGCTAAGCTAAATCTAAGCTAAAGTTAAGGTAAAGCTAAGCTGGGTATAAGCTAAATATAAACTAAAGCTAAGCTAAAGCTAAGATACAGCTAAGCTACAGTTAAGCTAAAGCTAAGCTAAAGCTAAGATAACGCTAAGCTAGAGCTAAGCTAAAGTTAAGCTAAAGCTAAGCTAAAGCTAAGCTAAAGCTAAGCTAAAGCTAAGCTAAAGTTAAAGCTAAAGGTAAAGCTAAAGCTCCCAGGGGACTGGGGGAACCGCTCCCAGGGGACTGGGGGAACCGCCCGGGGCACTTTCCACTGCCCGGCCCCTTTAAGCTAGAGAGTAAGAACCCTTCTAGGCAGAGCCTAGGTAGGGAAAAAAAACACGCACGAAACCGAAGAGTGCACTGGAAATGGACGTCCGAGCGACAGCAAGTTCTCGTTCCCCCCCCGGGCTCGCCGCCGACAGGTGCTGGACGCTCGGCCGGAGCCGGCCGGCCCGCGCCGCACGGGCCCGCGCCAGGCGCAGCGCCCTCCTCCAGCGCGCCAGTGGGCCCGCCGAGCGGGCGGCCCGGCCCAAGTCGGGGAAGAGGAGGAGGGGAAGGAGGAGGGGGAAGGAGAAGGAGGAGGAGGAGGAGGAGGAGGAGGAGGAGGAGAAAAGGGAGGAGAAAAAGGAGGAGGAGGAGGAGGATGAGGAGGAGGAGGAGGAGGCAATCGCATGAGCATGGGTTTTCGGAGCTCGGCGCGGAGTTCCTGGATTGGCGCTGGCCTCCGGCGCCGCCCCTGGCGCGCTCCGCGCGCCAGGGAGGGGGGGGGTCCGGTGCCGATCGAAGGCATCCGCGCGGGGTTCGGCAAGCTTGTGCTTGCACCGTGGCTGGTTCTTCTACAGTGGGGGCGCCTTCCAAGAAACCAGTTGGATTTTGCCAGGGTGCCCTGGGTTTCTTGGATTTTGATGGGCTCCCAATCAGATCTTGACGATTTTCGATCGACACATGTAGAATTTCACTGAACAAATCGCAAATTTCAGGGTTGGGTTTCTTGCGGAGGTTTCTTGTGGCCGAGCCCCCACTGTACCGAGTCTGGCAAGCAGCAGTTGACATCCGTTGACGGCCCGAGCAGTGCGGTTTGCGCGCGGGCCGCCTATTGCACGCTTACTCGTTGTTGCCTGAGCTGGTATCCGTGTAGGACGTCGGCCTCACTGCCGAAGGCACGCGGGCCTTCTTTTCCCCAAGGTCAAGCTTGGAACTGGTCGGGAGAAGCGAGGCGAAGCGGAGTCGTCAAACCCTGCGAGCACTGGCTGCACGGGCGCCTGGGGGGGGTGAGGAAAGGAAGCAGTGAACTAAGGAGGTGAGGGAAGCGAGGGAGGGATGATGGAGGGAGGAGGAAGAGGAGGAGGAGGAGGAGGAGGAGCAGAAGGAGGAGGAGCAGCAGAAGGAGGAGGAGGAAGAGGAGCAGGAGGAGGCGGAGGAGGAGGAGGAGGAGGAGCAGGAGCAGGGGGAGGAGGGGGGGGAGGAGGAGGAGGAGGAGGAGGGGAGGAGGAGGAGGGAGGAGCAGGGGAGGAGGAGGGGGAGGAGGAGGAGCAGGAGGAGGAGGAGGAGGAGGAGGAGGAGGAGGAGGAGGAGGAGGAGGAGGAGGAAGGGGAGAGGCGGGGAGACGCGGCTGCGAGCCGCACAGGCTGCGGGGCAACCACGAGTCGGAATCCTGGGCCAGAGAGGGTGCCGAGGCGCACCCGATGAAGGATCATCTTCGCTGTTGGGCGCAGCATCCCCAGACATGATGGCGTCGTAAAAAAATCAGGACGGGAGGTTTTTCGCTATTTTCGGCCCCTGGGGGCCCTCGCCGGGCCTCGGGACCGTCAAAAAACGAGTCAGGACGAAAAACCAGCCCCGGGGAAAGGGTCTGGACTTCCAGGGACGCCGTCGTGAAAAAATCAGGACGTCGCATGTTTGGGTCCCCGTGGTCAGGTAACCCCTGTGCCAGACATCACGGTGGGGACGGTTCTCGAGCATGTCCACCGGCGGGGCGACCCGGATGGATTCGGCACGTTCCGAGCGTGCCGAGGGAGAGGGCCCAGCAGTTCGGAGGCCCGAGCACGCAGAGGCAGTCCCAGAGGATTAAGGGTCTCGTAACGCTTGGCTCCTGGCAGTCGGTGGGGATCTAGTTTTATCGCGGGCAGGTGCGATCACTGCGCTCTCGGCGGGTGCAGCGGGCGCGCCCTGGGGCCCCGAGGGTCGTCTCCCGTGCCCACCCCGCCCGCCGCCTCCGGCAGGATGGGGGTCTGGCCTGGTGCGTGCACTGTTCACCGAGTGCGCTCCACTACTCGCAAAGTGCCTACTCGCAAGCGTCCGAAAAAACACCTGCTCCTCTTCGATGTAATTTCTCGTAGATCCTCCGCTGGGGATCCAGGCCATTTGCGAGTAGCTACTTTGCGAGTAGTGGAACGCGCTCGTCCAACTGTGGGCCGTATGCTTGGTGAATGGTCGAGGACTTGGCAGAACCGTGCCAGGAGAGACCTGACACGGCCTGGCACGTCAAGGCCACTGGCACATCTGCAGCGGGGAAGCCTCTCGCCTGCAAGGGCTCCTGCGACCCACTCAGTCCTTGTGAGGCGTCGTTGGCCTGATTCCTGTGCAAGGCCAGGCGTGTTGCGTTCCCGGGGCGCAAGGGCGCAGGAGGGGTAGGGTGGAAGGGGAGATGATGGCGGGAGGAGGAGGAGGAGGAGGAGGAGGAGGAGGAGGAGGAGGAGGAGGAGGAGGAGGAGGAGGAGGAGGAGGAGGAAGGGGGAGGAGGAGGGAAAAGGAGGGGCGGGATGAGGGGGGGCAAAAGGAGAAGGAACGAGCAGAAGGAAGGAGCAAGAGCAGGCAGGGGAATCCGCCCTCCGTTGGTGGTAAGTGTTGCCTCCGCCCTAGATCCTGACCCCCCAAGGCCCCTGGACGTTCTAACGGGCCCTTGGAGGCTTCTGGAGGCCGCCAATGGTCAGCATATGACCAGAGACGACCAACAACCGGCCGAAAACTTCTGGCAAACTACATCCTCCATTCTCGAGGGTCGAGGGCAATATTCAGCAGTGTTTTCCAATTGGGTCACGAGTAGGTGAGGAATTGCCTCAGAATTGCCTGACACCCACAGAAGGTGGGGTCACGAGGAGGAGGAGGAGGACGACGACGACGAGGAGGAGGAGGATGGGGGAGAAGGAGGAGGATAACTCAGGAGATTTCTGCAAGATGGGGATAGTGCAACCGCGCAGACGCGTGCTGCCGGCGCTCCACGACTGCTCGTCACGTCACTCGCGCGATGTCGTGGCCCTCCCTGGGATGCGAGGGGCCGCACCTTACAATCAAGCGGCATGCGGCTTGGCGCGCCGCGTGCCCTGACATGTTCGAGCTGGTGGGCGCAAGAAGCGCCCTCAGGTAACGACACGCCCTTTGGCTGTGTCGCCCCGGCCCCAGCAAGCCTCCGTGGGGCACCCCTCCGACGCGAGGCAGGAGCAGGAGGAGGAGCAGCAGAAGAAAAAGGAGGAGGACAACGAGGAGGAGGAGGAGGAGGAGGAGGAGGAGGAGGAGGAGGAGGAGGAGGAGGAGGAGGAGGAGGAGGAGGAGGAGGAGGGGGAGTAGGAGGAGGAGGAGGGGGAGGGGGAGGAGGAGGAGGGGCGGGGATGAGAGTAAGATAAGACAAGACGAGGAGGAAGGGGGATAAATCCTTCTGGGGTGGCCCTTCCACCCCTCCTCATCCTCCTCCCTGTGTCCTTGGGGGCTTTTGGGAAGGAGGGTACCCCTTCCCTGCCCTTCCACCGCCGTTCCCTTCCCTCCCCCCTCCTCTTCCCCCTCCCTCCTGGCGATCTGACGCTGCGGGCAGGATCGATCAGGTTCCTATGCACTCGTCCGTCCGGGTTCCTCCTCATCGATCTTCCCCCTTCTCCTCCTCATCGATCCCCCCCGTCTTCCTCGTCCTCCTCCTAAGTCGTTCTCCGAACAGGGTTGCTCCTTGGGAAGCGTCGCTGGCCGCCCGTCTGCGATCTTCCGTTGACGTTTCGCTCAAGCTTTTTCCCACGGGGCATGGTGCCCCCGTGGGCGGTCGGAGCCCTCACCCAGCTGTCGCATGGCGTGGCCTCCTGGTTGAGTCGGGCGCCGCCGCCGCCGCCGTGCCCGGCGCTGGAGTGCCCGGACTGCCACTGCGCCTGTCCCGCGGTCCCGCCCTGCCCGGCCTGCCCAGGGGCGCCGGCTCCCCAGTGCCCGCAGCAGGAGCGGGGGCGCGCCTCCACGGCGCCCGCAGCCCCGACGGTGGCGGCGGCCTGGGGGACGACAGTGGCGTCGCTCGTGATCGGCATCGCGCTCGGCGACGTCGGGAGGTGGAGCGATGGCTGCTGCTGCCGCCGACGCCGCGCCCGCACTGGAAGGAGTGGACCAGGTGGCGTACCTCCTGTATGCGGTGCCGGGGGCTCCCCTGTGGCACCAGCGCTGGAACTTGGGTCGGGTGGTGTCCTGTCCGAGTGACGCGATCCTAGTCTCGCCGGACCACCAGGTGCAGTGCGAGGTAGTGGACGGGACGTCGCCCGACATCAGCGCGGTGCGGTGGGCGCGCGCCCTCGCCCCCAGGCCGCCGGGCGTCGTGCGGGCCTACCGCTTCGCGAGCGCCCCGACTGCGGCGGAGGTGGCAGCCTGGCTCCCCGAGGCCCAGGCCGAGGCTCGGCGTTGCTTTGCTCGGCGCCACCCGGGCGTGGCCGTGCCGGCGCCCGTCTTCGAGGCGTGGCCCTGGGCTGCGCCGGGGGCGCCGGCTGCCGCCGCCGGGCCCGCCCCTCCCGCGGGGGCCCCCGCCGCCGGGCCGCCGGGCGGAGGATGGGTCGTCGTGCCAGCGGGGGGCCCGCCGGCCGCCGCGGCGCCCGTCGCCCCGGCACCCGCGCCCCTGCCGGGCGGGGTGATGCGCCGAGGAGGTGCGGCCGCGGGGGCTGCGCCGGCCGCGGGCGGCGGGGAGGCGGGCGGAGCGCCGGCGCCCGCGGGAGCGGCGCTCGCGGCGGCCGTGGTCGGGGGGGCCCGACCCCTGGTGCTGGCGGGAGGCGCTGGCGACGCCGCCCCCGCCCCCGTGGGGAACTGGCGCGTCGCCCAGGAGTGGAGGGGGTACCACTACGGCGATGTGATCATCCCTCCAGCGGGCTTCGCTGGGGCGGGCACCCCCGCCCGCGGAGTCGTCTTGCTCGCAGACGGGTCGTCTCTCTTCGTCGAGTGGGTGGCCATCGGTGACGAGTCGGACTTCGCCGACCGGGCGGTGGCGCCCGACTGTCGCCTACTGCCGGTCCGCCTCGACCGCGCTGGCAGGCCCTTCCGGACGCTCGAGAACCTCGTCGAGAGCTGCCGCCAGGAGCACCTCCCCGACTTCATCGCGCCGAGGACGACCATGTGGTGCCTCGAGCACCTCGCGGGCGAGGGCCGCTCTCTCGAGTCCCACTTCGAGCACTTCAAGAAGCTGTGCGGCCTCCAGGACTCCCAGTGGGGCATGGAGGAGTACGCCAGTGTGATCAGCTACCTGAAGGCGTTGCTCCAGCACGATCAGGTGGACGCGTCCAACATCCTGTCGGTGGAGATGATGTTCCGCCGGCTCCAGACGATCGAGTACTGCTACAGCGACAAGTTGCGCGAGAGGACAGCGGGCTCCTCCGCGGGGAGGCTCACCGCCGACGAGCAGGCCGCCTTCGGGGCGACGGCCCGAGCCGAGTCGAGGCTCATGGTGTCGCCCGCGCTGCTCGAGAGCGCCAAGCAGGAGCTGGAGCGGGACGCGTCGCTGGCCAAGAGCCTCCTGAAGGCGCGCGAGGCTCGGGAGTCGCTGGGCAAGCGGAGGCAGGGCCAGGGGAAGGACCAGGGGTGATGCCCGACCGCCCCCCCCAGACGTCCCTCAGGTCTGGTGGGGGGGATCCTGACATGACTGGGGATGCTCGGCACGCCGTTGCGCCGCCGGGGAATTTTGACAGGAACGTGGGGAGGGATCTGCTACCCTTCCCCACGGAGCTGCTCAACTCGTCGGAGCCACCAGCACCTGGGCTCTCGCGAGTTTGCCGACAGAGAGTCGGCCGTCGGCAGCGTCGCCACGCCGACGTTCTTCGGTGCTTAGAAGGTCTCAACACGATATACGGCCGCCGTGAAGGGGTACCTGTACCTGCTGATCTGAGCCTCGGGCAGCAGCGTATGCTCGATCACGTTGAGTCTTCTGTCTCTTTCCTGGGGCCTCCCCCAGAGGATCTTTCGCAGGCGGCAGCCCTCCAGGCGCTGCGCCTCGGCCTCCCCTATGACGCTGGGGGAGGCCCTGTGGGCTACGAAGCCTCCCGCGTGTCCCTCCCGGCGGCTGGGTCGGTTCCGACTCCGCTCGCTCGGCTTTGGGGATCCGGCGGGGAAAGTACTGTTGCGCGCTTTGCTGAGTCGCAAGTTTTGCCCATCGACGTGGCACGAATGAGGTTAAAGGACTCGGGGCCCCTGCGACCCTATGGGGACCCTCGCCTCCACTCTCCCTCTCTGTACGGCGAATTCGTTCAGCGGTTGGTCGAGGCTGGCGTAGCCGAGCTGACGCTTGAGCGACCTACCGAGGTGGTGGATTGCTTCTTTGTAAAAAAGGGGGGCGGCAAGCAGCGGCTGGTCGTCGACTGTCGGCGGTCTAATCAGCATTTCGAGCCGCCCGCCCCTGTCAGCCTTGTCTCTGGCGACACTCTCTCCCAGGTGCATGGCGACGACTCCCTCGATCAGCCCGTGTTTATTGGCCAGGTCGATATAAAAGACGCTTTCTATCACATGGAGCTCCCAGAGGGGCTCCGCCAGTACTTCGGGCTGCGAAGAATTCGGGCCTCGTGGGCGGGCATCTCTCAAGTCCAGGGGGTCCGTGTGTCCCCGGGGACCTGGGTCACCCCTCGGATGCGAGCCTTGCCCATGGGCTGGTCCTGGGCCCTATGGTGGTGCCAGGCGATCCACGAGCGGGCTGCCGAGGAGGGAGGATCCCCTGCTGCAGCCCGCCTCGCGGACGGCTCCCCTCCGCCTCCCCTCGCCTCCTCCCCTCACGCACAGTACGTAGACAACTATGTGGTGATTTCGACGAGCGAGGCGGTTGTTCGCGAACGCTTGGCAGGAGTGTCCCGGGCCCTCGTGTCTCGGGGGCTGCCGCTGCATAAAGAGTCTGTCTCTTGCGATCGGGCCATCGTGCTGGGGTGGGAGATCGATTGCCTTCGGCGCACCTTCCGCCCGACCCCCGAGCGTGTCTGGAAGGCTCGTCTCGCCATTCGGGGTCTTTTAGCACGGGCCTCGGTCTCTGGAGGGGACTTGGAGCGCCTTTTGGGCCATCTGTGCTTCATCGGCCTGTGTAGGCGAGAGTCGCTCAGCGTGTTCAAATACTGCTACAGGTTCTGTGAGGCCGCGCGGAGAGGCCCAGCCCGGGGGCCTCGGGCCCTCTGGGCCTCGGCCAGAAAGGAGCTCGACGTCTGGGACCGTATCGCCCCGCTCATCTGGGTCAACACCTCTGCGGGTACCTGTCCAGACGTCGTCGTGGTGGACGCGTCGCCGTGGGGCCTGGGGGCCGTACGGGGGCGACCGCCGGTGGCCCTGGTCAAGGAGGCCTGCCGTCACTCGGAGCGTGCTGGGGCTCGGGAGGCGGCCCGGGAAGGGCGGCCTCCCCGCGAGCGCGCCTTCGCCGCGGCCGCTGCGCAGCTGCACGGGGGCGAGGGGGAGGCCGACAGGCGGATCCTGATGGAGCTCGTGCGGCCCCAGTCTCGACACCACCGTCCCGAAAGCGAGTTCGACCGCCGGCACACGAAGTCGTTCGAGGACGTCCCCCTGGACCTCTTGAGGGCTCCCTGGAGGGTGTGCGGGAGGCAGAGGTGGAAACGGGCCTCGACGTCTATGCCGGCCCTGGAAGCGGAGGCGCTTTTGTACGGGGTGCGCCACCTCCTGAGGTCCGTCGCCAACTTGGGCTCGAGGCTGCTCGTGATTGGGGACTCGATCTCGGCCTCCCTGGCCGCCACGAAGGGACGGTCGTCTTGCGATGGCATGCTCTCGGTGACCCGCCGGCTGGGCGCCCTGCTGCTGGGGACCGGCAGCCTCCTACGGTCGCGCTGGATCGCGTCGGAGCTCAACCCTGCGGACGGACCCTCGCGCGGCCGGCCGGCGCCGAGCGACCCGCTTGCCGGCCTGCGGCGCGAACTCGCGACCGCCGCCGGCGAGGGTCGCAATGCTGGCGCGCGGCAGGTCCGACAGATCGAGGACCCCCGCGGGCCGCCAGCCGCCGCCGCCCAGTGCGGGGTCGGCCTCCCGCCCGGCCTTGGCCCCCCTGGAGACTGGGGGCCTGCGGGCGGCCGCGGCGCGGGTGCGGGTGGAGCGCGCTGCCAGGCTGGCGGCGGCGCGGGCCCCGCAGGCCCAGATGAGCCTGCTTCGGAGGGCCTCGGTGTCGGCGAAGACGCAGGCCCAGTACTCCCTCTACCTGGCCGCCCTGCAGAGGTTCTGCGACTCCCGCGGGGACCACCCGAACACCGAGGAGGAGTGGGACATCGCCACCGCGGGCCTGATGGAGATCATGTTCATGGAGGGCGGCTCGCTGAGCGCGGGCGAGAAGCTCTTGGCGTCGGTGCAGTGGGCCGAGCCGCGCCTCGGCAGGCTGGGGGGCGGGCGGATGCCCGTCTGTCGACAGTGTCTGCGAGGCTGGCGCCGCGCTGCCCCCGCAGGGGGCCGCTGGCCCCTGCCCTACGACGTGGTGGCGCTGCTGGCGTGCTGGATGATCTGCCAGGGGCTGAGACCCCACGCGCTGGCCATTCTCATGATGATGGAGATGTACTTGCGGCCAGGAGAGCCATTCCTGCTACGGGGCCGCGACGTAGTGGCGGGGTCCCTCAGTGGAGCTCGCGAGTGGACCCCCACATCGGTCTTGCTCCACCCGTTCGAGATGCGGACCTCGTCCAAGAGCCAGGAGTTCGACCAGACGATCGTCCTCGACCTCGACCGGCAGGCGGCGCTCGCAGACGCCCTGGTGCAGCTGGGGCTGGAGCGCGGCGTCGGGCCCTTGCTGGATCTGACGCCCAGCGCCCTGCGCCGGGCCCTGGACGAGGCCGCGGCTGCCTGGCGCCTGGGGCCCCTCGGGCCGCTCGACGCCTACCGCTTCCGGCACGCGGGGGCGAGCGTCGACTTCGCGACCGGCGCCCGACGTCTGGAGGAGATCCAGCGCCGCGGGCGGTGGCGGTCCGCGCGGAGCCTCCGCCGCTACGAGCACGGGGGGCGACTGGCCGACCTCTTGCGCCGCCTGCCGCCCGACGTGCAGCGGGCGGCCGCGGCGGCCGCTCAGGAGCTCCCCGACGCGCTGCGGGGGAGGCGGATGCCGTCTTTGGGCCGCTGAGGGCGCCGACCGTCGCCGTGTTCCTCGAGCTTCGCGGGCTCGGGCCACCTGTCCGATGCCATGGAGCGGGGAAATGTCCCCACATTGCGGTGGGACATCCTGTACGGCCCCGCCTACGACCTGCGCGACCCCAGGAGCGCCCGCCTCATTCGAGGCTGGATACGGGCGGGGCTCGTCTGCGGCCTGCATGCTGGCTTTCCTTGCGAGACCTTCTCGCGGGCGCGAGACCGCCCCAACGGGCCTCCGCGGCTCCGGTCCCAGGAGCACGTCTGGGGCCTGCCCAGTCTCCATCCCGAGGGCGCCGATTTCCAGAAGGTGAAGTGGGGCAACCTGTACGCGCGGCTCACGATATCCTTCTGCGTGCTGTGCTGCCAGTGTTTCGTCCCCTGGTCCGTCGAGAACCCCGCGCTGAGCTACGCGTGGCAGCTGCCGCCGATGCTGTCCCTGCTCCAGCGCCGGCAGGTCACGACCCAGGTGATCGAGTACTGCCGGTTCGGGACGCCCTGGAGGAAGAGCACCAGGATTGCTGCGTTTCTCCTCGACTTGGCACCTTTGGCCAAGTTCAGATGTACAGGGCCCGTCTGTGTCCTCACTGGGCAGCGGCATCAAGAGCTGTCCGGCAAAGACGCATCGGGCAGGTTCCGCACTAGATTGGCGGAGGCATATCCTCGCAAGCTCTGCAGCACCCTCGCCAGAGCCTATGCCGACGAGAAAGCCAGGTCCCGGGCTAATCAGTTCTCCGTTTTGATAGGGCGTGCTGCGGAACGTCTTCCGACGCTTGATTAACAATTGTTGTATTTTCGGCGTTGCCAGTCTAGCTGTGCATTTTGCAGCATTTTGGGTGTGTCCGAAATTTCAGTTGATGTCCGTGGCCGCTTACGGATCGGAGATCCGTGGCGGCAGCCTCTTGCGTCGGCAGCGTCTCGAATCCTCGCCACCTGGCCTGCCCGAGCTGGGAAAAGGGAGCATAAGTCGTTCTCCGAACAGGGTTGCTCCTTGGGAAGCGTCGCTGGCCGCCCGTCTGCGATCTTCCGTTGACGTTTCGCTCAAGCTCCCTCCCTCCCCCCCTTGCTTTCACTCTATGTTTGCCAAGGTGTGTCCGAAATTTCAGTTGATGTCCGTGGCCGCCTACGGATCGGAGATCCGTGGCGGCAGCCTCTTGCGTCGGCAGCGTCTCGAATCCTCGCCACCTGGCCTGCCCGAGCTGGGAAAAGGGAGCATCCTCCTCCTCCTGCTCCTCCTCCTCCTCCTGCTCCTCCTCCTGCTCCTCCTCCCAAGCGCGCGCGTTCGGGGCCAGGCCGCGCACGCGCCGGCCGCCGTGCGGGAGCGGCTGCACAAGTTGAGGCGGCCGCCACCAGAGGTCGTCATCGCCGTCGTTCTCGTCGTCGTCGTCGTCGTCGTCGTCGTCGTCGTCGTCGTCGTCGTCGTCATCGTCTGCCTGGTCGTTCTCGTCGTCCTCCTCCGTTTCCTCCTGCTCCTTCTCTTCCTCCTCCTCCTCATCATCATCCTGTCGAGCAGGCTGGGCAGCTGTCCAAGTCAACAGAGCAGGAAAGTTCGGAGCCTGCATATATGGGGTGGTGCCTCGGGGGTGGGGTCCTGACCAGTGGGCGCGGGGTGGGGAAGATTACGCGTTTCACATGCTGGCCAGATTTAATGAACCCCTGTGTGACGGCGACGACGGCGTTCCGCTGGAAGTCTTCAGTGATTGTGCTGGTTTTGTTCCGTGCGCCACCTCCTCGTCCACCGCCCTTTGTCCTGACAGCAGTCGCCGTCACACGTGGAAGCTCTGGTGGTCCAAAGTAGGCGACTCAGCCACTGTTGTGAGAGTGAAGGCCCACCGAGCTCTGCAGGACGCGGCGCCCCTCGAAGGTGTGTGGATTCTCCGAGGGAATCGCCTGGCTGACGAGTGGGCTCGGGAAGTGGCCCAGTCGTGGGAAGTTGCTGACGAGCAACAACTTGTTGTCGAGGGTTGCGGGAGGCGCGTGGTGCACGCAGCCGAGTGGCTGTGCCGATTGCATCGCTGGCGCCACGACAGAGGATTCTGGGATTCGGAGGGGGTGGGTGGAACCTCGGAGGTCGCGCTCGATCTGGAAGGGATCCAGGTTCCGCAGGATGTTGCCGACGAGTCCTACGCGCGGCTGGAGCTTCGAGAGCGGAAGGGACTGTTCGAGGCCACCCCAGCGCGCCTCAACGGCGAGGCTCCCCCCTCATCGACTGGCTCCTCGGCATCTCCGCCTGATCTGCCCTGCCTTTTCAGGATTTGAGAGAGTGAGCTGCCAGACTCGGAGGTCCCCGAACCATAGTATCGTGCAGGCGTCCGTCATTGGTGATGAGTCAGGGGTCCCTGTGCTGCTCTGTGCGGTGCGAGTGCCCGGCTAGGTGGGCCCTGTCCAGGACCACGGCATGTTGGGTTCAGGAGAGGCCTGCATCCCCGATTCGACCGCGTCCCCTTTCCCGAAGTTCGGAGATCTGGTCGAGCCGTCGGTGGAGGTCCGAGCTTTGTGGGAAGGGAGGCGAGTTCCTCCTGATGCTTTGGAGCGGAGTGCTGACCCCATCTCGTCGCACAGCTTGGGCATCCCCGAGGCCCCATGGTATGTACAGAGTGGCGCAGTTGCACGGGTTTGTCGAGCCGCGTGGGGCGGTCGAGTTTCGTCGCGACGGAAGGCGTCTAGAGAACGAGGCGCGGCTCCCAGCTGGCAGGAGTGACGGGCCCGAGGAACCTGACTACTAAGTAGTTAGTTCGCTGGACGCGAGGGGTTCTTCCAAGGCCCCAATCACCCAATAGCCCTCCTCCTCCTCCTCCTCCTCCTCCTCCTCCTCCTCGTGTTCATCCTCCTCCATTCTTTTTCCTTGACAATAATTTCTCCCTGTCGCACCCCGAGGCCAGCTTTTAGGGCGGGCCGTGCGTTTCGCTTGGGACTGCATCACCAGATGATTAGACAGCCTACAGAACGACAGACGTTTTCAACATGTGGCTCTCCCTGTAGCGCCGCGCACACTCGTGTTAAACAGTTACAAGGGAATCGCGGATTGAGGGCGGGTGGTTTTCGCAATGTGGTTCCCGCTGTAGCGCCGTGCGCATTCGCTTTTCAAAATTTGCAAGAGCTTCACGGATTGAGGGCGGGTCGTTTTCGAAGTGTGGTTCTCGCCTTAGCGCCGCGCACATCTCTTTTCAAAAATCGCAAGGGCTGAATGGCGGGTGGCTTTCAACATGTGGTTCTCGCCTTAGCGCCGCGCACAGTCGTTTCATTAATTCGCAACAGTTTCACGGATTGGGGGCGGATGGTTTTCAACATGTGGTTCTCGCCTTAGCGCCGTGCACATCCGTTTTTAATTACCCCAGTGCGACCTTACCTAGAAGTTGGAGCCCCTAGGAAAGCAGCATGATTTCCGATGCTATGCTATGCGATGCTATGCCATGATATGCTGCGCTATGCTATGATATGCTATGATATGATATGCCAAACTATGATATAGCATGTTGTGGTACGCTATGTTATGATATGCTAAGCTGCGATGTGCTATGCTATGCTAAGCTGCGATATGCTGCGCTATGCTATGCTATGCTATGCTATGCTATGCTATGCTATGCTTGGTTATGCTATGCCATGCTGTGCTATGCGAATGCAGCGCTGCACTATGCTATGCTAAGCTAAGCTAACCCTCTAGGCAGAGCCTAGGTAGGGAATTGCACCCATGCTATGCTATGCTATGCTGCGCTATGCTATGCTGTGCTGTGCTGCGCTATGCTATGCTATGCTGTGCTATGCTGCGCTATGCTATGCCATACTGGGCTATGCTATGATATGCTGTGCTGCGCTATGCTATGCTACGCTATGCTATGCTGTGCTCTGTTATGGTAAAGCTCAGCGAAGCTAAGATGAAGGTAAGCTAAGCTAGTATAAACCTAAGCTAAGATGAAGCTAAGCTAAGCTAAGATGAAATAAACTAAGCTAAGATGATATAAGCAACACTAAGCTAAGGGGACGCAACTGGGGGAACCGCGGGGCGGATCCTGGGGAAACCGCCCGGGGCGCATTACACTGCCCGGCCCCTTTAAGCCAAGAGAGTAAGAACCCTTCTAGGCAGAGCCTAGGTAGGGAAAAAATGTAAAAGTTTCACGGATTAGGGGCTGATGTTTTTCGCAATGTGGTTCTCGCCTTAGCGCCGCGCACATTCGTTCTTTAAATTTGCAAGAGCTTAACGGATTGAGAGTGGTTCTTTTTCGCAGTGTGGCTCGCGCCTTAGCGTCGCGCACATTCGTTTCATTAATTTGCAAGAGCTTCACGAATTGAGGGCGGGTGGTTTTCGAAATGTGGTTCTCGCGTTAGCGCCGCGCACATTCGTCCTAACAAATGCAAAAGTTGCATGGATGAAGGGCGGGTGGTTTTCAAAATGTGGCTCTCGTTTTAGCGCCGCGTACATTCGATTTAAATGTTTGCAAGAGCTTCACATATTGAGGGCGGTTCTGTCTCGCAATGTGGCTCTCGCCTCAGTGCCGCGCGCGTTCGCAAGACTTGCACGGACTCCCATGATCGACATACCAGAAATGGTTTTGGGAAGGGTTCAAGATGCATGCGGATGCAACACTTATGTTGGCTCGCGGTGTTGAAGGTCCTAAAATGGCGCTCTGGCACGTTTCCAGATCGTCAGCACGCAGCAGTCAGGTTGACCCGTGGCGTGGAAATCCCGAGAACAATGTTCTGGCATGCTTCAAGATCTTCAAACGGTTGGCTTCCAACGAGGCAGTTCCCTCAATGAAAATGAACCGTCGCAGGGGCCTATGACGAGGGAGCTTGGAGGGAGGGATACTCCCAGCATCGTTGATGTCTCTTGGGTTTACACTGGCCCTCCTCCTCCTCCTCCTCCTCCTCCTCCTCCTCCTCCTCCTCCTCCTCCTCCTCCCCCTGCTCCTCCTCCTCCCCTCCTCCGTTTCCTTTTCCCCCTCCTCCTCCTCCTCCTCCTCCTTCTCCTTTCTCTCCTCCGTCAGTCAAAGGGAGCCCCCGGGCATTGGGGCGAATGTCCTGGGCCCTACGTCAACTACCAGGTCCCTTTCGTCAGGCCTGGCAGCCCTGGCTGGGTGGCACTCTTGGATTGGCTTCTCTTTTTTGCAGAATGCGGTCAACGAAACAGTGAGTTACTGGCGCAAGATAGAATGGACGCCGCTACAAGCAGTACACTGGGGCAGCAGTGTTCCGCGAAGGCCCTCGCTAGAGCCGCTTGAGGAGGAGGAGGAGGAGGAGGAGGAGGAGGAGGAGGAGGAGGAGGAGGAGGAGGAGGGGGCGAGGAGGAGGAGGAGGAGGAGGAGAGGAAGAGGAGAGGAAGAGCAAGGGGAGGAGAAGGAGCAGCAGCAGGAGCAGGAGCAGGAGCAGAAGCAGGAGCAGAAGCAGGAGGAGGAGCAGAGGGACAGGCCCGAGACGCGCGCTCAGGCAGGGGCGGCCCGGCAGGGAAGGGGACGGAGAGGAAAGAGGGGCGGGGGGCGGGGGCGGCTGTGGTGGTGGTGCTCATCCCTCCCTCCCTCCCTCCCGGCCCTCCTCCCCCCCTCCCGCCTTCCCCCCCTCCTCCCTCCCTCCCTCCCTCCCCTCCCCTCCCCTCCCTCCCTCCCCCCCTCACCCCTCCCTCCTTCCCTCCCGCCCCTCCCCCCTGGCTGTCAGGCTCGACGGCCTGGACGAGGGGGACCACGCTTGCCGCGCTGCTCCAGGCCGTGCCCGCCGCCCAGAAGTCATCGTGGTCATCGTGGTGGTGGTGGTCATCGTGGTGGTGGTGGTGGTGGTGGTGGTGGTGGTGGTGGTGGTGGTGGTGGTGGTGGTGGTGGTGGTGGTGGTGGTGGTGGTGGTGGTCGTCGTCGTCGGCGTCGGCGTCGGCGTCGGCGTCGGCGTCGGTGTCGGCGTCCGGCGTCGGCGTCGGCGCGTGGTCGTGATCGTGGTCGTGGACGTGTGCGCGTGCGTTTGCGTGGTCGTCGTCGTCGTCGCAGGCGCAGTCTTAGCGTGAAGCGCTCGTCGTCGACGACGCCGCGGCCGTGGTCGCCGTTGCAGTCGCAGCCTCAGCGTGAAGGGTCCATGCGCTGAAAGAAGGACCGCGTTGGGCTCGGGAGGGGCTTCGGTTTGGGGGGCCGCGCCTTCGGTCCTCTCGGGTCTGGGTGTTGGGAGCCCCTTCGTGGCCGAGGGTCGCCGTGGGCCAGAGAAGCCCCCTTCGTTCCTCGGCCAGCGTTCCTCGTGCACGGTGGCTGTGAACGGTGGGCGGCGGCGGTGGAGAGGGGGGCGAGGAGGCGAGGAGGAAGGAGGGGGGCCGAGGAAGAGGCGGAGGTTACGACGAGGAGGGGAAAAGCAGAAGACGCGCACTTCGTTCGTATGTTATTTTCGGCGTTGCCAGAACAGCGCCATTGAAAGTTATGGACATCCCTCGAGCGGTAGCCAACTAGACACTCTGAATGTTTGACATCTGGCGAAAGCCATATGTGGTCCACTCAGCACGGGTCAGACAGAGAACTGGGAACCACGACATCCTAGGCCAGATGCGAAAGAGCAGGACTTTTGGGTTGCTCGAAAGGCAATTTTTCGCTCGGGCTGCTGTTTTTTTCGGCGTGCGCAATTATGCTCACACGGGAGTGTACTTGGCCAACGCGAGCAGTGCGGTTTCCTCGCTGGTTTTGCTCGTCGCACTTCGCCGCCGCCGTCGCGGCGCGGGACCCGGAACATTCCCAGCACTTCACGCCGTCCCATTCGTATAACACAGGTTGTACCGCAGAAGTTGCCCACATAGTTGCCGTTCCCTAGAGAAGATTAGTGTCTACCGCCATGCCGACGCCAGACTTGACGGCACCCATCCGTGCATTGTTTTTCATGTTCATTACGCACCATCGTTCACCCCTCATTCGAAATCATTATGTCCCAACCCAACCAAGCTGGTATCGACTCCCCCCGTCTTTCCGGTCAAGTAGTACAATACTGTGCACACGCATTGATCCAACAAGCGCGTTGTCCAGGAATCCTGGTCGAAGAATCTCGTGTGGGTCACACGCGCGCGCCCCCTGCGCGCGTTTGTCGGAGTCACTGTGAAGCAGTGTTCCGTGCTACGCGCGACACGACATGTGAAACAGCAGCGATGGTTTCCAACGGAGGTCAACCGATGATCTGCGCGCGAACGTGTGCTAAAATCATGGGCGTCGTGTCAGCCCAGTCAGATGAAGTACGCGGGCCACATGCGCGCGCCCCCGCGCGCGCACCGAACGCAGTGATCGACAGGCCGCGCATCAGCGGTCACTCTTGCCCAGGACCACTTGATATGCGTCTCGCCGGCTCCTGCTCCCATCCCTGCTCTCCTCCCTGGACCACCCCACGGGGCCGCGAAGAGGATCGCGTTCCGCGGTCTGGAGCAGAGACGCGCCCCTTTTCCCCACGGGGCTCGGCGCGAGCGCGCGGAGGTAAGCGCGAAGCGCAGCGCGAAGCGCAGCGCGAAGCGAGGAGCCGAGCGACCTGCAGCCAGCACGTCAGGACAAAAAAACGCGTTGGCGGCCAGGCCGGAGGCCAGAGGGAGCGGAGGT